GAGAACCAGAGATGAAGTATTCCTTACGAGGGCACAATGATAAAGAAACAACCCTAAAAAAATGGTAAAAGATAAAGAACATTATTATTTTTTTTCATACTTCACTGCTGTGTTAAGTGGCAAGAAAAGAAAACCGCTGCATACCGATCGTGGTGACCTTTGAAGTACCGCAAGTATTTGTTATCATTCAAAGAAAGAAGCCTCAAAGACTCTGCACAATTTTTTAAAGTGAATACATGCCTAAGGACCAAATAAGAGAACAGAAATACTTCACCAGACTGAACTTACCATCCCAACCATTTTTCGAGGAGTATATAACAGTTGCCGGATGATCAGTAAAGCTAACCAGATCAACCCCATATTTCTTGCTGTTGATGGTCTTCAAACACCTACAACAACAAGCTCACCATAAAAAATAAAAATAACTGCAGAAAGTACCAGGATGAGATAAAGAGAATGGACACGTAAAGAGCTGCAAATCTAACTAAAGAAGCAAGAGTGACTACAGATACTTTATTTTGATAAGAAATAATATTGTCAAGTAGCATATTTAGCATAAAGTAGAAACTACAAATGCCAAAGAGCTATTATATACCAAATAAGGTAGTGAAGGGGAAAATCAAGTATTACATGAAATGAAAAAAGTGGAAGTGCAGACTAAAAAGATATCTGGATTGAATTTCTACTATCATTCAATGGAATAGCATATCCCACTAACTGGAGTAGCAAAATTTTGTAATGTTTATTATATGGAACCAGAAAAAGTCAGACTGATATTTCAGAGGAAGACAGCATACACGGGAGAATCAAATGAAATAACCTCATTATTGTACGGTAAGCAACTTGATAACATGGGAATATTATTAATGAGAAAAAACATTCCTAAAACTTATCTTCACTCACTATGATTTCTCAATCTGTTGGGTCAAAAACCAAGCCTGGACTGTAGAAATTTATCCACAGTATGTAGTCTTAATGTATAATTAGGTGTATTACAATCTTCTTCCCTTGAAACCCAGGCATTCTCCTTAAGAGACATGCATAGTTGAAAATCCCCCTTTGTCGTTCCTCTGTGAAACTGAACTCAGATGCTTGCTGACTTTGTTGTTCCCATATCAATAATTTTGCTTTCCTTGCAAAGTAGGAGGTAATCCCATGAGATGTCAGCCTGGCACTTCAGTTCTTTCCTCTCTTCTTTTTGTTGCTATCCCACCCATAAGCAGATTTTTGTATGTGGTCTTTATTTAATTAACATGACAGTGAACAAAATAAAGCTTGTTCGCCTATTGCCATTATTTTTCTCAAGGAAAAGAAACAAGTGCTTTGTCAAGTTCAAGGATATAGTATCCTATTTGTGGAAGATACCACATAAGATCTTCATAGAGATATCCACAAAAGAACTTTAGTCACATAACACACATTGTGTCTATGGTCTTGCAAGATGCACACTGTATTGAACAGTTTTAGAACTCATTCTTCATGACCTAGACAAGTATGTCCTTAACACTGTGAATGTTTGTTAACTAACTAAATAATATTGGCTGCTTAGGTACAAATAAGCAAAAGTGATTCATGGTGTTAAAATTTTATAGAAATTTCCCTTTGAAACATCTAAACCAGTCGCAATACTAAGTCATGTCTAAGATGACACTTCAACTGCTCGGACTGTCCTCATGAAAAGTATCACTGCATAATCAGAATACACAAGTATCTCACTGGTGCAAAGAATTATTCGAAACCAATATACTGAGTTCTATGAATAAAGAATTGCAACAAGACAATACTTACAGAGCATTTTGAACATCATAAAGGCGAATTGATTCATCATCACTTGCTGTTACCAGATAACTTGCTGTCCTATGAAAATCCATTGAACTGATTCTACCATTCTGGAATGAAAAATAATATGTCAATGCTATTAGAATGAACACCAACGAATGCAGATTTAAATAAAAAATCTGTCTCGATTAATTTCTATGAATGACTCAAGAACTGGGTAAGTACACATTAACTTAAACACATACATATCTCCTGGATTTCCAAAATCCCAAACAGAGAAATTGAGGATAGGTAACGCAACATTGACTATTCTAATAGGCAACTATTTCCATTTCCCTGGACTCGGCACTTTAGATAGACTTTTGCTTTGTTTTCTTTTGCACCTTGGCCTCTTATTCTTCTCCTTAATTTAATTATCAATACCTTTGAACAAATAATATTCCTGATGAACAATAACTGACAATAGCAGTTCTTCAATCACATGTATGTCCAAGTTCCTCCATTAGAACACTTCATTCAAAACACCAAATATGTAAATTTGAGGGTTCGTTTGTTTAGCTTGTTACACTTAAGCAATTATCAAAGATCTAGTACTTCACTATTTCTTATTGTTATTGGAATAATTAGAGAAGTCATTCAATTGGTACCAAGATAAAAATTTGTATGATTAATAAAGCATGTGAATCTATTTTTTGTCAAACTAAAACTATACCAAAATAGATGTTTTCAGTTTGGTTCAGTTTTTGCTTATAATTTGGTTTGTTGGGTTTAAGGCTCCCATAAAATGAATCCCTTTTCCTTCTTTGTAATTTCCTCTTAAACCATATCGATCTAACCAATATGAACTCTAGCTTAAGGCTTATCGTGTGGAACAGCATTCTCAAAATAATCAAACCCTTTCCATGATTTGTTGTATCAGTTTCTTTGTCTCAATATCCCCAGTTTATATGATTTACTTCCTCTTGCTGCATAACTCCCGCTGCTGAGAGTTACCCTATTTAACTAATCTTCCACACTGGCTATTGGAAAAATCACAGTAGACAGCTGAACAGTAGGTCTACATAGGCTTATTTATGGTCTAGGAGTATTTTTTTTCAGTTTAAGATAATCTAATGGACTCCCCATGGCATTGAAGGGATATCTACTAATATTTGTTTCAAATTCAAAGTGAAAACCTTTATCAATGCAAATCATATTAGGCTGCTTAGCTTGTTTTCTTGCAATCCCAGTCCAATCTGTTTCTTTATTTAAAGAAATTAGCCTTCAGATTTTGCTAAAATATATCTAAAAACAATTTGTTTTTTCTCTTACCCCTAATTCGGACAGTCTGAACAGACCGCTAAAAGAACGAGCATCATAAATCTCGAACTCACTCCATGATATCGAACGCAAAAATACATATTTGGGTAACCAACAACACACTTGTAGACGCATAAATGGGAAGAGAGAATGAATGAAGGCACTAAAATTTGGAGGGTAAAGGACGAGGGCGGGATATTACGTAATCTCGAAATGCCATGCCGACTTCCATGCTCTTGAAGACCTCATCCGTCAGCTCCATCGACACCTTATCATCCCTCTCCAGCATCATCATCGGACCACCACCTGCGAACCCAATCGTTCCCACACCCATAAATCAATCTGCTAAAATTGAAGAAAAGGTGGGAAGCATCGATTTCCAGAATCAATATTAAGTAGCTACCTACCCGTCATCGATTCCTGATGCGTGGTCGGTTCTCCAATCAATCGAGAAAAACCAAAATAAGTCGTGGTCGTAGAAGGGGATGTCAGATTCTTTTCATCTAGCGGATACTGCTGTCGCAAGGGAAGAAGATGGCGGCGGCTTATGGCTGGTGAGTGGTGGAAGACTTGGAGCGATCGGCGACGAAGGCGGAGGATCTCAACCGAGGGATAAAAGGGCAAGAAAGACGATGGGAAAGAAGACGGTCACGATTCTGTTTCATCTGTGCCGATCGGAAAGAAAACATCCGGTTGGTTTTCTATGACAAAGAGTAAACCGGCCCGGTTCGACCAAATGTTCTTGCCGGTTCTGATCCGACCGGTTATAATTAAGAGTCGAACCGGTCGGGCGATCAGCTTCCAATTAATCCGATTCGATCGACCGGTTCAACATGATCTTTAATTTTTTCCTTGAAGAAAATTTCGTATCAGAAAACTATATATAATGGTTCATATATTTTGAATTTAAAAATATAGCTTAGGACAATGTTTCGTATTTTATGGGTTTTTTCCTAATATTTTTTTCTTTTTTTTGAACAATTAAATATTCTTAGATAGCTTAGTCAAAATGTAATTTAATGATTATTTATCATGATTTATGCTGTTGTAACCCAACCTATTTCATTTTTTTTCCGAATTTTGGAATTACGAAGAAATCCGTTTTTGAAATGAAGAAGTAACCGACAAATATGTATATATATATATATATATATATATATAATAGAGAGAAATTTATAAGCATTCAAAATATTTTATTACATTTTGCTCTCCATCAAAATCAGAAGAAATATAAGATATTTAAAAAATAATTAAATTATAATTTTAAATGTATTTTTGTGAAGTTTTTTCTTATGAATCGATAGGAATCTAAAAGTAGATGATGATATCAATCAGCCACCCAACTTACCGAATGGCATGCTTAAGATTTTTATCACTTCTAGGAGAAATTGCTCGAACAACAATCACATAAACATAATTTCTGTATAGATAAAACAAAAAAAAAATTGTGTAAAAGAAGAGGACAACTCGTTTGTGAACTTTGGCATTTGATCTCATCCGTTTGTTTCTTATCTTCTTTCAAACTAACTTTACACCGCACATTCATACGATACACTTATAACAGAATCTTAACCTTTAATCGCAAATAATCTGCTTTAACCGCTAAAATATCTTCTCATATAATGATATCGTCGATAATACAGTTAATTGAAAAGGATTAATCGAGGTACACGTCTGCAATTTCTCGTCAGGGCCCCACGGGCACTAAAAAATGTCCACGTCGTGGCTCATCCATCCGTCCACGTACCCACCATTAAATTTCGCATGACCACGGAGAAACAAGGTGGGCCCCAAGAGTAACAGTGGTAGGTGGCGTTCAGCGTCAACAAGGCTGCGTGCCCGAATATAATTATATTTTGCGCCACCGACCGCCCCGTGCACGCTGATGACACTAATGCTAGTATACTGGAAAGTGGGGTCGTTGAGGAGTGCAATCCGCTCTACGCCGTTGACGTGTTAACCCTTCGTCGCTGGCTACTGTTCTCGGGCAACAGCGTGACTCAACGGCAAGCACGAGGACCGGTAGAGGGGTCGGAACAACCCCACCGCAAATAAAGTCCAAGGCATTACCCCTGCCTTGGACAAAGCGATGGCCGAAAGAAGCAACCGCTGCCCCCGAACAGCCGCCGCAACCACCGTTGATCATGGTGGTCGGCCGCGGAATCCCCCCTCGGCCCTTCGCCGCGGGGCCGCGACTCCTCTTCGTCGACCTAAATTCCGGAAACCGGTCAAGGTCGTCCCTCGCTCCTTCTCCGAGCCTGTCCTTCGGACTGTCCCCTTTTGCGCGGAAGAAATCAAGCAGAGCCTGGGGGGTGATGTTGGGATAGGACGATCGGCGTTTCTCCTTCCTCGGTTCCGAACTTGTTTCGAGGCGCCGTCCCCTCTTCCGTGTCTCGATTCGCGGCTGTTTTTTGATGTAAGCAATTGTTGGTTTGTTGTGGTGCTTTGGGTCGATATAATGATGATGATGATGATTTGAAGGAGGGAGCGAAAGTAGTGGTGAGCGTGACGGTGGAGGGGAGCCCGGGGCCGGTGAGGGCGATGGTGAGGATGGGGGCGAGCGTGGAGGAGGCGATCGCCGCCGTGGTGGACAAATACAGCAGGGAGGGGCGGACTCCCTTTCTGGGTCGGGAGGCCGCTGCCTCCTTCCAGCTCCACCATTCCCACTTCAGCCTCCAGAGTACGTATGCTGTCGTCCTCTCCGCCCTCGCCTCTTTCATATACAATTGTTTATCAATTTTGACTGATTTAGCTGGCTAATAATTAAGTTGTTGACGTTGTAATGCTTGTTATATCGTACTTGATTTCTCTGTGGCATTTGCGATTTATGGGATACTGCTCTAGAATAGACCTGGAGCATCTGGATGATCAGTTTCTTGCTGGTGTATTGAAGCTTGTGGTGGTTCTTGATATTTATTTCCTTTTCACTTATTGTGTCGTGGGATACCATAGTCATAGTAAGTGTTAAGAAATAATTATGTGTGATGAAGATGGAAAAAAGACTAAAGAATAACTAAGAATTAGCAGAGTAGGTATTTGTTGGGATTGACCCTCAACTTGACCATTTAAGTTTTTGAGGTACATTGATATTGTCAAGGATTGAAAGAGTCAGATGATATGATTTTGATTCATGAAAACTTAAACCTTTAGGTTAGATTAATCTTCAATCTCATGTCTGTTAGTCCATCGAGAGAGATTTGCATTAATGTTACAAATTGAGGCTGTTACCTCTGAAGTCTTTGGGCTTGTCCTGTCACTCTTTTGTGCACTGAAACATTTTTTTGTTTAATTAGAATTGTCACTTTTTTTTAGACCGATCTTGTGTGGTGGGCCACAATGTTTCTTAATTTTGTAGTTGTTGTAGCTTAGATATCTTCTACTTTTATACACAATGTAGGTTTAGAATATTAAGAGAGTGTTTGGTAGTGCTCTTCTACTTGTAAATGAGGTGAATTGCAACACAAATGCAAGTCGAGTAGTTCTTGGTTGTCTGTTAATCGAGTTTGTGAATACCATTAGGGCCTATTCCATGGGCCTGTTAACCTGAGCCGTAGTATTTCATCTGAGCCGAGTTGACAAAGTTTGACCCTATTATTCTTATAAGTTTTAACATGTAATGGATATTTGCAATTCTCAAAAAATTGCATTTTAGATAAATAAAGCTATAACTAACTTGTAAGGTTGGATTGGATGTCAACATAAGTCTTGGCTTTGGTTACATTTTTTGGTCATAACCAGTCTGATCTAGATTATCTTTGACCCAAAAATATGATAGAACAAGTTAAATAGGATTGCTAATTGGCTTATAGAACAGGAAAACAGAAAGGATTCTAGGAGGAGACTACTAGTCAATGGTAAAATAATAATTGGTTTAGAACTGTAACATTGATGTTCTCATCAATACACTTCTAGCATATTATTTTGCATGATCTCCTCAAAACCTTCAAGCTCATGATAATAATAAAACTTTGTTAATTCTTCAGTTGTTTCATAGGATTTGCAATGACTTGTGGTCTTTTATTATATTGATGTATCTTCTTATGAAACTCTGTGGTACTTCATATTCAATGCAATGCTCTTCTACTCCCATATGCATGTTCAAACTCTCATCATATCAAATTTTAGATCATTTCTAATTGTTATTTTTGGTCATGGACACCAAATAATTTACCATCTTTGAAACAGGCATCACACCCAAAAAGATATATTTGTTTACTCTATCATCAAACTTGCTCTATCTCTACTCCGGTATGTGAGCATTATTAATGCCCTGTATATATATATATACATATATATATATATACATATATATATGTATATATATATATATATATGTATATATATATATATATGTATATATATACATGTATACATATACATATAAATATTGTATATATATATATATATGTATACATGTATATGTATGTATACACACACACACATACATATATAGTTTGGCATCCACTTGATGTCTCTTATGGGAATATCTATGTTTATGTAGGGCATAGGTTAATACATAAATTAGACAATCCATCAATTCTGTCCATTGCTTTTTGACAACCTTTTACTTGTTGGCATGCCTCCGACCATCCTGAGCAACACAGTAGTCTTTATCTTCATAACCATTCTTTTATTTGGTAGATTACAAAGAAGAAATATTGAAGATTATATTCGTCATAGTATTTTCAAAGTCTCTTAGAATGAACCCTTGAGTTTCCTTCACACATTTTAAACTTCTTTGAAGGATACAAATCTATTGATTTCATTTAAGAGAACACCTACTTTCAATATAATCATTCATAAATATGAGAATACAGTGCTTACCAAATTGAAGTAAACTTTTTTGCTCAATATGTGGTCTTTTGTCTAATGGAAAGGTAACTATACTTCATTCTTACAATATATCAATTTAACAACCAAACTCAAGCCATTGTTTTTCTCTATATAGGAGACTATATGTCAGTAGCTGAAAATTTGGACACTTTATTTCCTTGAATTATATGTGGCTTTTGGATGTTTCTCCCACACAAGTTTTAAGACAAGCTGCAGTATGACCATGAACAAGATTGTGAACATTTCTTACGCAACATCCCTACAATATGCTTAATAGTGTTCATGCTACCATGTGATCAGTTCCTCATCCATCAGTTAACATAAAGAATCTTAATTCTCTTGGATAGGCTAATCAGTGGTCCTGTTAGTTGTGTCACTTTCTCTTTAGAGGATGTAGAGAGGGTAAAAGTAAAACCATATAGTCGGAAGTTGTTTCATATCACTTGTTCACACATAAATCATTGAGTGATTTGTTGTCTTGCATTCTGTTGATTTCAACTGACAAATATAGTTGCCATTTAACTATAAAGACAATAGCTGAACGACTTAAGCAATCATCTAATCACTTAAGACTTTCTATGAACTAGATATTTTATAGCATGACAATTATTTTATGATGTTTAAAAATATACCCAAATTATGCATTCTCATTAAGATTGTATCTCATAATCATGACTTAACAAATTAATTATCAGTTAGGTATCTTGACATAATTGAAGGACTTATCTGAGTAGTTTTTCTGAGTAATTTTATATTTTCTATCATCCTAATGTTCCATGAAACTAATTAGTGATTGGTTTCCATCTAACTTCTTATATGATGTGACAAAATTGTATTGAGTTGCATCTTACCAAGGAAAAAATCATTTGTGTTATCAGGCTTAAGCAAAAGTGACAAAATTAGTGAAGTTGGGGGCAGGAATTTTTATCTTCGGACGAGCAGCAGAAGCAGCAGTTTCCACTTCGCAGGTGAAGCCAGTGACCTAACATCACAGAGCAGCAGCATCGAACTAGCAAATGGCAGCTCTTCTGTTGTTGTTCCATCCCACTCCTTCGTCTCATTTGTCATGAAAAAGATGCAGAAGATTGGAAGGCGAACAAGGAAGCTTTGGAATTTGGTGGTTGGTATTGCCTGTTTATGAAGTGCAATGATCTGAATTACGGCCATCTACTTGATGTTGCTTGTATATATACATATATATCTCTCTCGGGAACAACCATTTGCTTATTTGATAATGGTTGTTTCATGGTGTCAAATATACCTAATATGAAGTAAGGAAGATATCAAAGATCATTGTATAGGGCACTTTTGGAAGTTTTATCCGGTAATGCAAGTAGTAGCATTCAGCTATGACATTTGACTTGTAAGCACGTCGAATAACATTCATTCTACTTTCTTTTTATTTATTTGCTCTTTTTTATTCTTGTTCAAACTTGTGCACTCTGAGAGAAACAGTGATTGCAAAACAATAAGCAACGCTGATTTGCCCCATAGAACATGTTCAATGGTCAGTTTTGTGGCTTGCAATAAATCAGTGTAAAATACCTAAGCAATATAGGCCGTCTTTAGATATGTTCTCAGAAAATATTTCTTTTGGTTTCAAAATTAAAAGCTTAACAAATTGTTCAGCTTACATTTCCTCGGTTCTCAATATTTTTAAAACCATTCTCAGGACTATAACTGGAAAATAAGAAACAACAAATTAATAGCTCTAGTGTTGCTCTCAGTGTTCCACACGACTGTTTTGCTCTCGGGATAGTCTAATTTGCCAAATGATGACAATGCTTGTGCAGTTCAACTTTCTCTCGTATGGCTTACTATAGCTGAACCGATTGTCAAATAATTGTGTTCCACTCAATCATCATAGACAGCCAAAACAAGAAGCCACCGCACCTTAATGCTTGCATGGGACACGGACTCGTGGCTCACCGTCGTTCACTGCGAACATCGAGCTGTAGCATTCATGACGAGGAATGACGATGACTTATACCGACCCTTCTCTCTGATTGGATCCAGCATTCTCAAATTTCAATTACGCGTTACCAAGCAGATTTCTTCCAAACCTCACGCTTCTGTGCTCATTGATTTCTTTAGATTCGTGTGAAACCCACCATATCCAGCATCTCACTCTTTATGCTGCCCCAAAGGACAGGTTGTACCTCCATTTCTCCAACAAAAAGCCTCGGTACCTCTCTCTCTCTCTCTCATGGCCTATGACAGAAGAAGGTCCTCTTTGTTCGATGCCTTCACACTCTCACCTCTCCCATACCCCGTGCTGCTGATACTGCTGATGGTTTTCCTCTTGCTAAGCCTATCATGGTTCTTCGACTACGAGTCGTTCATGGAGGAGACGGAGGAGCAGATGAGTTGGGTGCTCCTCACGCTCCCCGTCGTTCTGATCCTCGTCATCCGGTGGCTCTCCTCCATCGAAAGGCTCGACGATACGCTGCGGGGGCTGTTCCGGTACGATCGTCGTCGTCCGAGTTACTACGGCTACAACCAGCCGCAGGAGGGTAGCTCACCGTGGGGCATCGCCGCGGTCCTCGTCTTGTTGCTCGTGATGGTCTACTTCCACTCGAGCATCCAGGATATGTGGGGACCTTGATTTGATCCCTTTTGTGATACAAATGTTCTACATGTACAGCTTCTTCTCTTCTCATTGATGTCTAATGTCTACTACTACTCTACTCTTGTCATGGGCTTGTTTATACTGGACTCGGTTTCCCCTTTCTATATTTCTCTACACGTACAGATTCTTCTCTTGTTATTGATGTCTACTACTTCACTCTCTATTTTATACTGATTGTGTTACGGAATATATTTATATTTTTGATATGTAGTTAAAGAAAATTTTTTAGTGAATATAGTAGAATCGTGCAATGATAAAAGTGTTGCTTGCTAAAATTATATTTCAAAACTTTATTAAATATTTTATGATAAATTAATCATTCTAATATTTGTTAATATTTATTCAAAAATAAATATATATTTTTATTTAAATTAATAAATAAAATAACTATAATTTAAAAAAATATATTAACATCCTATCATAATGTCATTCGAGCATCTCCAATGCAATATTCAAGTCAGATATGATTAAAAATTTATTAAATATTAATTTATATTTAAAACATGTATTAGACTCTGGAGTTTTCCTTTTACTACTTTATTTGTGAACCTTAAATAGAGGGAGTGTTTTCTGCCATAGATTTGCTAATCTAAACCCTGAGACTCTTCCAGAAATTTTGAGGGAAAATAAAAAAGAAAAGAAATTAAGAATAAATATTTGAGGTCTTCGGTCGAGTCTATAATATATGGTGGCCTATTTCAAATACCTCCTTTTCAACACTTATTTAGTAATATTATATTTTATATAAAAATAAATTTATAGGGACTATTATATATTTTTGATTAGATGGAGTGAGGGTTCAATGTTTAATCAGTGTTAAAACAAATATTTATTCACTCGATATATCAATCCATTAGCTTTTGATATGATTTAATATACATTTGTTTAATTGAATGATGATGCATGATTTCACATAATTATCTATTTATCCCTGCCGTTCATGGGTACTTGGGCAAACCCAAGATGCGTCGATCAAATCTCGATCACGCATCTCAAAGTATCGCAATTTTCACCCATCTAATTAGTTTTTGGGAACAGCAACACGTCGTTCTCTCTTCTCCACAAACTATTCCTTTCGCCTCCGCCGCGAAGCGTTTCGTCCCCATAAAGACTCGTTTCTTATGTTAGGGACCGAGCGGCGACCATGGGCAGCGGCATCCGCAGCAATCTGTTCTTGAGAGAGCTATGTCTCTTCTCTCCGTTCCTGAGACGCAGCGGCTGCGCTCCTCCAGCCGTCCTCCCCTCGACCACCGCCCACATCGCGATCGGTGGCATCCGCTGCGCGGCGGCTCAGTCGAGCGACGGCGGGTCCCAGGGGAAGACGTCGGCGCGCCTTTCTTTGATGAAGCAGGTCCTGCGGGACGCCGAGGAGCGTGCTCTCTCCGCCGGCTCCGAACCCACCCCTAAGATCTCTTTAGGTATACCGGTACTTAACAATCGTCATCCTTCAGCCACGATGAAAAGAAAGAAGAAAAAGCTTTACTTTGGCTTTCAGATTTAAAGAACGATTAACTTCAGCATAGCTCTGATGCTTCTTTAATTGCCATTTAGGTGAAGTGTTGGATTATAAGTGAGAAAATAATGATTTGGAAGTTGAGATTAATTGTGAATCCTATATCATCTCCCTTCTCTTATTTTTATCCTTTTTTACTCTCTGTTTTGCTAGTGCTCGAACATTATAACAATGTTGGCAAATGACAAATCTGATGGCTGTCGTGAATAACAAACACTATAGTATCAGCAACTCCTCCAATTCATGGTCATAGTTCTTTTCCTTTTTTTTGCCTCAGCTTCCCCTTTCTCTTCTTTTTCTTCTTCCAAAATGATGTAATTGCCTAGATCCTGATTGAGTCTAATTGAAAGCGTTGACTGTTTTTCTTTGTTATACTAAATTGTTTCTTAATAAAGTTAATGGTAAATTTCAACACTTTACAATCTGAAACAGCTGTTGCTTTCTTCCTCAACTCCATGTCAGTGTCTGAGGGAAGGAAGATTTCGGGAGTTACTTATTATCATTGTGGGAAGACAGGCCATCTTGCTGGCTTATGTCTAGGAAAGGGAACCATTATAGCTGTCGTAAAGGAGCAAGAGTTCTTAGATGATGGTGAGGAAGATGAGGAAAGAGATGATGAGAGGGATACTTTTACATATAATATGGATGATCATGTAGAAGAATCATCCTTGATTATATGATGAGTGGACCAATCACTGAAAAGTATTTTAGATTCTTATGTCAAAATTCACCCCTGTGCTTTTATTACAGATTGAGACAGTTTTTGTAGTCTATGTTTTATGTATATGCTGCTAAGATGGGAAAACCAAGGCAATTCTATCATAGAATACTGCTCTTTGCTACTTAAAATGGATGGGATTCATGGCATGATTACCTATATCTTTGACAGAGATGCTATCCACTTAGACACAAACATCTAGACCATCAAGAAAACAGAAGGCAACATCCTTATCCAATTAATATCAGAGAGCCAACAAGAAAACCTCAATTTGGAAAGAGTAAATATATAGTCATAAAGGTTTCTTGCAGACTTACAAACAATTACATATGCATCTTAGTTCTAGAGACAGATGTTTCTCAACATAATTTAAGGGCCAGCTGGCCACATGCGGTGAAAGTTGTTGATGCATTCACCTGAATATTACTTCTGGTCTTCCAAGGGGAGCAACCCAATAATTAATTAGGCATCAGATTTGATCCCAAAGCCTTCAATCAAGTTCAGGATCAGAATTTTTTTAGTTTTTTCTTATGTTATTTAGGAGTTTTAATGGTTCTATGTAATGTGCAGCTCAGATTAATAAAACTTGAGCAAGTCAAGGATCAACAAGCTACTTTAGGTGGCTGCAACACAAGTAAAATTGGATACTCTTATTTGTGTGGTGAAGAAATGGGATTTGCGATTGGTTCTTTGGGCTGGTGGAACTCACATTGATGATTATGCCACTTCCTTTCCAGTTTTCTTTGGGTTTCAATTAGGATGTATATATATTTTGGGTATTGTAAATACTAGTTTTGATGGACATATGAAAAATATTGAAGGTTTTTTTTTCTTTTTCCAGCACTTAAGTGCACATCTCTTTTCTCACCTCTCTTCTCATTTTTAATACCTTGTCTTCACTTTATAGGAGATTCTGTCTTTCACTTGTTCACTGCTGTTTTCTTGGTTCTGATGTAAATTATCAGATTTTATCCTTGTACATTTTCTGTATTGACTGAAAATATCTGTGTTTCATATAAATTGATTTTAAATTTTTCTGGGTATAAATTTTGTTGGATATTCTGGACCGCAGACTTATGTCATGTTTTTTTATCATTTTGTCACATGATCTAAAGTAACTCTAGATTTTTAGGGTTATATTATTGTTGCTAGTTCATTCTCTTCCTTACTTTTTTTGGCTTTGACTTTCCTAGCCTTCCCTTTAATAATCTTGAATCTTATTACAAACTCCCTTGTCTGCAAATTCTCTCTAATTTAGGCTTTGTATACACTGTTTAGCTAATTAAACCTTAAAGTTTTTTTTAATCACCATATATCTTAATCTTCTTTTATCGAAATTGCTGAATAACCCTAAAATTAGTGTATTTATTTTGTTTTCCCTCTAGTTCATTAGTTTTTTTTAACTGCAACTCAAATACTGTTGTTTTCTTTGTGTAACTGTTGCATTTATCTTCTTAATGATATGAATTGCAGATCATAACTTCAGAGTTTTATCCTTAATCCTAACCAGCAGACAAAAAAAACATAGTTGTGTTCCTGCCAGAAATGCCTTATCCCAATTTACTAAAAATTGACAATATAATATGAATTGTCAGTATTTTCACTCATTTGCAATTCACTTCTTGATGTGATACAATGGACAGAATACTGCTGCTGAAGGTCTTCATTCCTTTATTTTATGGTTGTCACAGTTTGACCAAGTTTTGTCCAGAAGAAATAAATGATCACATCTGTACACTTTCATTTTCTAGTAAATTTCTTTCCTCATTGAATACATCCAACCACCTGCACGATCTTCAATTATTCATAAACTTCATATTTAAAGGTCAAGTTTCCCTCATCTTGTTCGACTGAATTGAATAGATATTCCTAGATTATTATGTACTCAATGCATTATATTTGAGCACTTTAGTGAACTCCTGTTCTGTCTTCCATGTTTTTGTCTTGCAATCAACTAATTTTCTAGGTGAAATATACATATTATTAGGTTTGTCCCTTTTGTCAGCCTACTTTCTGTACCAGTCAACAATGCAGACTTAGATTTTATGTTCTTCATAATATATGTGAAATGAAGCATCTTGTAACTTCTCTGTGTGTACATGAGTGTCCTTATTTGATCTTGATCAAATTATTTTTGCAGAACATGTCACTATTAGTTATGCAAGAAGTGGGGGCCCCGGTGGGCAGAATGTGAACAAAGGTATGTGGATACATATTGCTTCTCATTTGTTTTATTCTTGCTTTGCTTCTTTGCTCTTTCGTTATTGAGAAACAACTAACTGTGTTATTTTGTTACATTTTATCTTTTCCAGTTGCAATTTATTTTTAAATAATAGTTTCATACATATCTCGCAAAAAATAGCTCAGATTTGTCCCTCAAAAATTTGGAAGAAGCCCCAATTCCCTCTAAAACTTGGAAGGCATCTATGGTCTTTCATGAATATCCCTGGCAGTGGTGTAGATGATTACTCTCCGAGTTTTGGAGGAATATGAGGCTCATTCTTTCTCTATTTCAAAGAATAAATCTGAATTTTTGAACATTTTCAAGGGATGGATGAAACTACTCCAAGAATTCATGAATTAAATGTACGAGTGCATTTGGAATTTCAATTACTGAAGAATTCTCCCTTTCTAGAATTTGGTGCTTAATCTTCAGTATCATTGCATTGAGTTATTTTTACTTTTAAGGTTTACTGAGGCAAATATGTATTAACATGCAAATCTTATTGATGGCAATAAGTTGTTTTTTCTCCTCTTTCCAATTTTCTCTAAGAAATGGTCACTTTGTTGTCTTAGTTGCCGTATTACAAGTTGTCTGGATATCTTCATAATGTAGTCTCAATTGTTGCAGTGAACACTAAGGTAGATATGCGCTTCAATGTTAAGAAGGCATATTGGCTGAGCGAAAGAGTCCGGGACAGAATCCTTCAAATGGTTATTCATTTAGCTTTGTGGTTGCCTGTCTCCTTACATAT